AAAGGGACACAGACTAATTAGCATATTACCCTTGTATTAGTATAGATATTTCTTATTGCAAGGAGAGGAAGAGAGAGCAAGGGAGAGAGAGAGAAACATTCATGATGAGAGAGAATCATGGATCGGCTGCCTCCTGCACGCCCCCCACTGGGGATCGAGCCCACAACCCAGGCATGTGCCCTTGACTAGAATCGAACCTGGGACCTTTCAGTTCACTGGCTGACGCTCTATCCACTGAGCCAAACTGGCTAGGGCAATAAGTGATTCTAATACTGCTTTTCTCGAAAACAAAATCCAACGAACTTCCGTCCCCTTTCAGAAGACCAACACCTACGTTAGCCAATAGAAGAATTTTCCAATTCCTGAAATTAACGTCAAAGAAACTACACCTTCCATTAGCCGCTAGAGCAGCGGTTCTCAACCTTCCTAATGCCGCGACCCTTTCACACAGCTCCTCATGCTGTGGTGGCCCCCGATTTCATTGTTACAAATTGAACATCATGAAAGCATAGCGATTCATCACAAAAACAATATGTAATTATATGTGTGTTTTCCGATGGTCTTAGGAGACCCCTGTGAAAGGGTCCTTCGACCCCCAAAGGGGTGGGGACCCACAGGTTGAGAACCGCTGCTCTAGGGTGTACAGGTCATCTCATATCCAGGTCACCAACCTAGGGCCTTCTGGGAGTTGTAGTTCTCTGCTCTTTACAGTAAAAAAAAAAAAAAATTGGTGCGGGCCTTGGCATAGGTAACCAACTACCTCATTCGTGTCTAGGGATCCCAACCCATTGCCTACCTGGTTTCCTCTTGAGAAGGTGCTGGGCCTCGATGGCGGTGATCTGGGACACAGTAGCGAAGACATGAGCACAGTGGGCTGCTGCCCGCTCCATGCAGTAGCGGTGATAGATCTGCCTCTCACCTGCTTCCTTGTCCACATTGAACTGGGCGGGAAGAAAGGGCGCTCAGGTTCGGAGAAGTGGGTGGAAGCCTGGAGGTTCCGACTCTGGAGACCTGGGGGAGACTGGAGGCTGGACGCCTGGGTCTTAGGGAGGAGGGCTCTGGGGATGTGGGACTCCTGGGTCCTGGAGAGGGAGCCCAAGCCCTTAGGGCAGCGGTTCTCAACCTTCCTAATGCCGCGACCCTTTAATACAGCTCCCCATGTTGTAGTGACCCCCAACCATAAAATGATTTTCGTTGCTACTTCATCACTGTCATGTTGCTACTGTTATGAATCGTCATGTACATATCTGATCTGCAGGATGTCTTTTCATTGTGACAAATTGAACATAATGAAAGCATAGTGATTCATCACAAAACAATATGTAATTATGTATGTGTTTTCCGATGGTCTTAGGCGACCCTTGTGAAAAGGTCATTCGACCCCCAAAGGGCTCGAGACCCACAGGTTGAGAGCCACTA